TCTACAGAAAATCCAGGCTTCAAAAATGTTCAATAGAACTTTCAATAGAAAAATTTTCTTTAAAAAATTGGACCCTAACCTTTCTAGGGGCCTTCTATAAAAAAATTCAAAACGTTTTTGGTTCCCACTGTCCATTCCCAATTTACCTTTACAAAACTCCACATAAAAATCCACATAAAATGTTTACTGTGTGAACATCATTTCGTTTTTTTTATTTTCGTGGAAAAGAGGTTCTCTGGTTGGTTATTGCAACCCATTTCAGTAACCTAGTAATTGAGTTTTGCAAACTTGGCAACTATTCGTGCGGTGCGAATTTACTTTTTTTGTTTGTTTTTGTTGTTGTTGTTGGTTTTGGGCATTTGAATTCACGCTTGCACTGTTAAGCAAATTTGTGTCAATTGTTGCAGCAATTCTCCTGGTCTGGTCGGCAACGGTGATGGGAAATTGGCCAGCAGTGATGTGAATTCAAATGGAAATTCCGAAGCAATGAAGAAAAAAATCAGAAAACGAAACATAGAGGCCTACTAAGCCAATACCGGCCTAACTAGACATGAGACCGACAACAACAACAAATTCATTTTCATTATAAACAACACCATCTCAATGGACAAAATCAACGACATGAAACGGGGCAGCAGCAGCAACATCCACTTGCTGTTGTTGCTGCTGTTGTTGTTTTTTCACGTTTCCAGCAATTATGTAATGCATGGATGGATGGAGAGAGAGAGACAGTCAGTGTCTTTGCTTTGCAACTTGAAATTGACCATTACATTTCTTGTGCGGTTTATTTATTTTTATTTCTCCACATTTGGCCATTACCCCACTGATTCATCTGCTTTACAAAAGCCAGTGGCAGCTCTTAACAGGGTTGCCATGAGAAGATACCAAAAATGGGTTCACTCTAGGGGCCTTTGACACATATAACATTTTTGGAGCCCAAAAATATATTCCCTAGAGATTTTCTATAAATATTTTTGGACACTTCCGGGATCCACGGATTTTCTTCGGAAAAAAATTGGGTCCTTTCTAGGACCCATGGATTTTCTATAGAAAAATTTTGGAAGTTTGTAAGGCCCTTGTATTATCTACAAAACATTATTGGACTCCTTTAAAGATCATTTATTTTCATAGAGGCCAAGGACTTATATAGAAAGAAATTAAGACCCGCCTAGGGGCTTTAGTTTTTCTATAAAAAAATTGTTTGACCTCTCTAGAGGCAATAAATTTTCTATAGAACATTTTAGGACGCTTCTAGTGGCCATGGATTTTCTATAGAAAATTTTTGGCCATTCATGGTCATGGATTTGCTATAGAAAATTCTTGCAAACTTCTAGGGGCCATGGATTTGTTATAGAAGAATTTTGAAACCTTCTGTGGGACATGGATTTTCTTTGGAAATTTTATGCAACCTTCTATGGGCCTTGGATGTACTATTGCACATTTTTGGAACCTTCTAGGGGCTATGGATTTTCCATAGAACATCTTTGCAATCTTCTGGTGGCCATGGATTTTCTATAGAATTTAGTTGTGTCTCCCCTAGGGGCCATGCATATTCTATATTCGATTTTTGGACCCCTCTAGGAGCTATGGATTTTCCATCAAAAATATTTGAACCCCTCCAGGAGCCATGAATTTTTTTTTTGGACAGTTTTTGCACCTATCTATGGGCCATAGATATTATATAAAAACATTTTGGACTCTCATAGAGGCCTTGGATTTTCTATAAAAAAAACTTTGGAACCTTCTAGAGGCGGATTGACCACTCCGACCCTCTCTATAAAATTGAAGAAAAATGTCTTTGAGTTTTCGCATGACTTGTCAAAGTCTCAAACAAAAAAACCTGGCCAACTGCTTCACCACTAAGAGAAACGATGCACACACTTTGGCGCTTTAGACCGAACCCAAAGCATAGCTATGACGATGACGACGTCGATGATGATCGTGGCACATTCAGCAGGAAGTTGGCTTCCTTTCACTTTTTTCTCTAAGCATTTAATAATGTTTTTGGGGATACTCAAAAAAAAAACAGAAAAAAAACTTCATAACCCAAAATTAGTCTTGCGCAACCGACAGCAGATCTACCATTTTTTCAAATGGTAGACGAAGAAGATGCAACCAGCAGTCGTTCAGCTACCACAGCACCAAAAAAAAGGCAGACATACAGACCTAGCCAACATCCAAGTCTTTCTCTCGAAGTAGGTAAACAATTGACCAACAACAAAAAGTAAACGATGCCAATAGTCATTTTAAAACTAAGCATCGCTTTCAGCTGAAGAAGATCTTCAACTACAGGGTAATAGACGGGGGGGAAATAATGTGATGCCTTTTTGTCGAATCTATGTTACAAGGAAAATGTTTTTGAATTTCGTTAGGATGCTTTGGAAAATGTAAAGCAGTAAGGAAATAATATTGTCTGAATACAAAATTGGCCATTCACAGTTGTCGACCATTTGAATGGAGCGGAAGAATCCGTACGGGTTTCCGTTTTCCATCTCTCTCAATGAATAAATTCGACTGCCAATTGTGTGTCAAAAATATGTAATGGGCTTTTTTGATGTCCATTTCAATGGTAACCGAAGCTGACCGGATATGGTTAGTGGCCATTATTTGGTAGAGCAGTAGGTGATATGAAATATTTTTAGAGGAAATATTTTTCCGGTCAACAAAACAATGGGGGAAAGGGCAATGGGAAATTGATGGCTTCAAATGTAGGTCCTAACAATTCCCTAGAAAAATGTGTAGCATCTTCAGGGTTCATAAATATTAGGATCCTAAAAAGGGGACCAAAAATGGTTGTCTATAGGAAATATTTGGCACAAAGGACCTCCTTTTTGAAACAAAATTCTACCATTTTTGCCATTCTACGGCTATTGATAGGGTCAATATTTTCTATAGACATTCTATAATACCTAGAAGGTTCTAAAAATTTTCCATAGAAAATCCATGGCCGTGAAATCATACAAAGCTCCATATTGCTAAAAGGGAACGGTTTGTAGGTCCCGAAAGACCTTAAGAGCTCTAGATGATGTCCTTCTGGAGGTCCCTAAAGACAACGAGAACTCTTGAGGAGACATTTGTAGGTTATGAAAAATCATAAAGAGGTACGTATAGCTAAGAGGTACGTATAGCTAAGAGGTACGTATAAGGTTATGAAAAATCATAAAGAGGTACGTATAGCTAAGAATGAACCTTTAGGAGGCCTCCAAAGACAAGGAGAACTCTCGATGAGGTCCTTCGTGGATGGGAGGACTCATATAGAGGTCTGTATAGGTAAAAAGTAACCAGTCTGAGGTCCGTATAGACAAGGATAACTATTGAGGAGGTATTCACAGGTTAGGAGGAATCATATAGAGTTCCGTATATAGGAACCTTTCGGTGGTCTCTAAAGACAAGTAGAACCTTTGATAAAGTTCTGCTGAGTTAGAAGGAGTCATATAGAGGTCCATATAGATAAGAAGCAATCTTTCAGAGCTCTCTAAAAACAAAAAATCTTAGATAAAGTCCTTCTGGGTTAGAAGAACCCTGTAGGAGGTACTATAGGTTAGGAGGATTCACATAGAGGTCCGTATATGTAAGAAGGAACCTTTCGTAGGTTCTGGGTTAGTTTCGCTAAAAGTAACAATTTTGTGGTCCCTATAGGCGATGGAAACTCTTAAGGAGGTATATATAGGTTAGGAAGACTCATAAAGAGTTCTGTTTAGCTAAGAATGAACCTTTTGGAGGACCCTAAGGACAAACGAAACACTTGACGAGGTCCTTCTGGGCTAAGAGAACTCATATGGAGGCATGTATAGGTAAAAAGAACCTTTCGGAGGTCCCTAAAATTGATAAAATCCTTCTGGGTTAGAAGAACTCATATAGAGGTCCGTATAGGTAAGAGGGAAGCTTTCTGAAGTTATTCTGGGTTAGGAGAACTCATAAAAATGAAAAATGTCCGTTTAGCTAAGAAGGAAGCTTTCGGATGTTGCTATAGGCAAAGATAACTCTTGAGGTGGAATTTATAGGTTAGAAGAACTCATAAAGTGATCCGTACAGCTAAGAAGGAAACATTCAGAGGTCCCTAAATACAAAGGGAGCACATGAAGAGATCCTACTAGGTTACCCTTCGGAGGCCCCTATAGTCGAGCAGAATCTTTGATAAAGCCCTTCTGGGCTAAGATGACTCATATAGAGGTCGGTATAGCTATGAAGAAACCTTTCGGAGGTCCCTAAAGACAGGCGGAACACTTGACAAGGTCCTTCTGGGTTAAGAGAACTCGTATAGAGGTCCGTATCCTGCTGGTCCATATCCTGCTAGTATTTATAGATATGTAGGAGCCTTGATGAGGTCCCTAGAGGCAAGGAATATTTCTTTATAGACCCATCTAACTAAAATGGCACTTTCTGAAGGTCATTAAAACTAAATAGGAGCTGCATAGAGGCTCCTGCAGGTTACTAGAATCTATTTGGAGGTCGCTATGGATAGGGTAAAGTTTTATGAAGTCTAATAAGTTGATTTTAAGGTAGGAATACACCCTACAGAGGTCCCTTAAGATAAGGATGATTGCGATTCAGGGCTTTATAGCTATGATAGGGGTTTATGGAAGTATGTATAAGGGAATTGGAGATGCATAGAGGTTCATACAGGTTACCAGAGGCTCATTAGAGGTTCATATAGGTAGGAAAAATGCTCATAGAGGCCAGCAGAATCACTTTTTAGGGGTTTTTAATTTTTTATTCGATTTGCGACATTGTCGTTCTTTGCCCGTTGCTTTACTTTTTTGTTTTAATTCAGACCACAAACATTGTATTGAAATGCGGTTAAGAATTTCCCAGCATTCTTTTCAAGAAATCAGAAACAACAACAAGAACAAAAAAGACTTCAAACAACAATTAATGACAACAAAATCCGCTTATAACAACATACCAACTGTACTAATCACCCAGTAATGAATAGCAAATCCGTTAAAAGCTTTTCAAAACAAAACAAAAAACAGCAACAACAACAAAACGACACTTACCCGAATATGTTAAAATGACATGATCGCCACTGTGATTGGTAAAACGCATCCAGAAACAAATGGTAAATTGCGACAGCTCCGGTACCTCGTTGTCATATTCCACAATGCCGTCGTGATTGAAGGCATATTTTTTCACCGAGCATTGGTCCTAGGGTTAAGAATGGGGGAAGAGGGGGAGAAACAAAGGGGAAAAGTTGGGAATTAGGAAAATTTTTGGATTTTAGAAGGTCCTTTTTGGGAGCTTTACCTCACTATATGCCACGGCTCCCTTGTAACCAAATCTGGCATCACCAAAGTTAATGGCAGCTGGCACTGTGGTGGCATAGGTCTTGACGGTGGATTTGAGTGGAAGAACCTCTGCCACTGGTTCAGCCACAGTTACGGCGGGTATTTCTTTAATTATTAGCTCCTTGGGGGCACCAATTGGTGTACCCACTACAGCTGCCTCGGCCGTGGAATAACCTGACGTTTTACTGCCGTATTCAGGATGCGACTGCTGTAAACTAAACGAACTTGTAAATGTGGCCGAGGTTGCCTTGGAACCACTTATGGTAGAGGTGGCCGGTGGCAGATGTCCCACTATGGGCTTCCAGGCATGGCCTAAAACGCATTGGCCCCAGCCAATTACCGCGAATAAATAAATTAAACGCATTTTTATGTTGACAAATTAAAAGAAGCTCGTTTCGTTTTGGTTCCTTGTCGCTGGCGAACACGCGCGCACAGAAGAAATTAACCCAATTAATGGGGATTTGGTTTAAAACCACACACAACTTGAATTAACCACAAATGTAACGAAAGAAAAAAATAGTGCAGGGTAATTAAATCCGAATCCGAATGTTTTAAACGAAAATTATATTTTTTACGACTTTTAACTTGACGTCCGTTTACCGCAATGGTCCGCTGCAGACTAACAGAAAATCTAATCGACACTCAGGGAGTTGTGCAGTTGTGCGCCTGCGCCGAAGCTAAGCCAAGCTTCCTACATGCTGCCTACCCAAACAGAGCTCTGAAAAAGCTCTTTTGTTTTGGCAAACAAAAATTGCAGCTAAACCCCACAATTAAGTCAAGCTAAACCCGCAAGCTTTGTCACTATTAAAGACCATTTGAAATTAAAACGTGTGTGTCGGTGTGTTTGTGTGTGGGTATCTGGCTTTAAAAATTCACTTTGAAGAAATTTTGTAACGAACAGAAAAAATCAAAATCAAAACAAAAGGTGTTACCACGATCTCTGCTGTGGGTAACAGCTGCCAACTGATGAATGGCACGGGCATTGGACTTGCTCCAAATGGCTTGATTACAACGTTGGACAGCCGGACGGACGGACGGACCATTCATTCATTCATTCACTCATTTCTTTTGTCACCATTCCCTCACTATCACAACAGACACCCTTCTTGTCAAGTGTCGGGCACTAAAAGTTGCTAACAAACATTTGTTACATTCCGATGGCCGGTTATTGCTTCGAAGTGGTTTCTTGGAATTCTGTTTCTGTTTTTTTGTCTTCATTTCCCATCGACAAATTACATTGGCAATTTGTCAATATTTCAGTTCAGTGGCCGTTGGTTTGACCACGTCTTTGGCTTCTGACCAGTTCTAACCAACTTTCAATTTCATTTGTAGCAGTTTTTTTGCGCTGGTTCAGATTAACTCATTTTAAGCCGGTTTAATGGGAATGCATATTTTTGTAACGCATAACCGACAAAACAGCAAACGTCATGGTTACAATCTCTCGAATAATCTCCGGTCAGGCAACATTGTAAAGGAATTCAAGAAAAAAAGTTCAACATTTTGTTTATATTGCACAACAAATTTAATTTTTCTCAAAGAAAAATATTTTTGGACCACTTCTAGGAGCCATATAAGAAACTGTATTTTACTACTACTTCATTATATCGACCTCTATAGCATTCCTCCTTACCTACACAGACCTGTACAGGCCTCCCACTTTGCGGAATGGACCTTTAACAGTCTCATTTTACCTCTAGTGAGGTCTCCCTTAACAACACAGATGCTATATATTGGCCCCAGTGGTGCTCTACTACCTCCTACTACCCTGAATGGACCTCTATAGGAGTTCTCGTTACCTGTAGGGACCTCCGAAGGCTAATTCTGTAACTAAAAGGACCTCAATATTAGTTCCCCCTACCTACACAGACCTCTACAGGCCTCCCAATTTGCGGAATGGGCCTTTAACAGTCTCATTTTACCTATACAGACCTCTAGTGAGGTCACCCTTAACAACACAGATCCTCTATATTGGCCTCTGTGGTGCTCTACTACCTCCTACTACCCTGAACGGACCTCTATAGAAGTTCTCATTACCTATAGGGACCTCCGAAGGCTTATTCTGTAACTAAAAGGACCTCTATATTACTTCCCCCTACCTACACAGACCTCTACAGGCCTCCCACTTTGCGGAATGGACCTTTAACAGTCTCATTTTACCTATACAGACCTCTAGTGAGGTCCCCCTTAACAACACAGATCCTCTATATTAGCCCCAGTGGTGCTCTACTACCTCCTACTATCCTAAATGGACTTCTATAGGAGTTCTCATTACCTATAGGGACCTCCGAAGGCTTATTCCGTAACTAAAAGGACCTCTATATTACTTCCCCCTACCTATAAGTACCTTATCAAGCCCCATTTTTAATTATAGGTATTCTTGAAGAGCTTCTCTATAACTACTAATTCATTTTACAGACTCCCACACGGCGCTCCCTAAAGCTTCTACTTTACGAAATAGACTTCTATCATTTTCCTTTTACACATAAGAACCTCTACTGAACCACTATTTAATTGTATGGATTTCTATAGGAGTTCTCATTACGGACAGGGACCTCAGCAGACTTTTTCCATAGCTATAAAGACCACTATAGAAGTTCCCCTAATCTATAAGTGCCTTTCCAAAGTACCTTCTTGCTTATGGGGGCCTTTGAAGGCTTTCTCCAGAATAAATTATTACTTATACCGACTCCTCCATACCTGCACAGGCCTCAACAGGCCTCCTAATTTTCTGAATGGACTTTAAACAGTCCCATATTACCTATATGCACGTCTAGTGAACTACTATATGGACGTCTAATGAACTACTACTTAATTATGCAGACCTATGTAGTGCTCTATAAGAGTCCTCCTTACCTGCATATACCTCCTACTGCCCTGAATAGACCTCAAAGCTTTCCATTTTGCCTCTACAGACCTCTACTGAATTGCTACTTAATTGTACGGACCTCTACAGGAGTCCGCAATACCTACGGATAACTCTACAGGTTTCTTCCGTAACTATTAGGACCTCCACATGAGTTCCTCTGACCTATAAGTACCCTATCAAAGCACCTACTTGCTTTTAGAGGCTTCTTCAGGGCTTCTCTATAGCAACTTTTTAATTATACCGAGTCCTCCTTACCTACACAGACCTCTACAGGCCTCCTATTTTACTAAATGAACCTCCAACAGTTCCACCGTATAAGTAACCTCTAGTGAACTACTACATAATTGTACAAACCTATATAGTGCTATGTAGGAGTCTTCCTAACCTGCACATACCTCCTACTACCCTGAATTGACCACTAACCTTTCCGTTTAACCTATACGGACCTCTATTCAACTAGAAATTAATTTTACGGACTTCTACAAGAGACCGCAATACCTATGGGTACCTCAGCAGGCTTCTTTCGTAACTATTAGGACATGAGTTCCTCTAACCTATAAGTACCCTATCAAATCACCTTCACAGAATTCTACAAAGCTCCTACATTACTAAATGAACCTCCAGTGGTTCCATTTTACCTGTACAAACCTATTCTGAACTACTACTTCATTGTACGGACCTCTATAGGAATCACTATCACCCATAAGAACCTCAGCAGGTTTCTTCCTTAACTATGAGGACCTTTACATGATTTTACCTTACCTATAAGTATCCTACCAAAGCATTTTCTTGGTGATAGGAACCTTTGAAGGGCTTCTCTATAACTACTAGCTAATTTTACGAACTTCTCATTGCCTATACAGACCCTTATAGAGCTCCAACTTTACTGAAATGACCTCTTGCATATAGGCAAGAAGAACTCTCATACAGGTATCTATAGGTACAAATGATAGATATAGAGGTCCATAAAATGGAGGAGAACTTCTGCTGAGGTCCGTATAATACAAAAATAGCCCCATAGGGATTTGATTAAGTTAAGAGGAACCCGGTAGATGTTCGGTTAGGTGAGGAGAACATGCACTAAAGCCTTTATTGATTAGAAGTAGCTCAATAGAGGTTTATATAGGTATGGAGGAAGCCTACTGAGGCCTTTATAGATGGCCAGGAGGCCTGAAGAGGTTCTTATAAGTTAAGATAAAGTTATTATAGAAAATCATTTAAGTAAGAGGAGATCTGTAAAGATCTGTTTCGGTAAAGAAAATCGCTGCTGAAGCCCTTATTAGAGGCTCAATAGAGGTTCATATAGGTATGGACGAACCCTACTGAGTGCGTTATAGGTAATCAGGAGGCTTGAAGAGGTCCTTACATGTAAGGGGGACTCTTATTGAGGTTTCTATGGATATGTATTAGCTCTATAGAGGACCATAAAATGAAGGAGAGGCCTGTATAATTCAAAAATATATTTATTGAAGTTCGATTAAATTAGAATGAGCTCTGTAGAGCTCCTTTTAGTTAAAGTGAACCTCTTCTGAAGCCGTCGTTGATACGGAATAGCTTAATAGAGGCAGTCATAGGTGATCAGAAGTCTTGTAGAGGTCCTTATAAGTAAGGAGGACTCTTTTAGAGGTTCCTATAGGTATATATGAGTTATATAGAGGTCCATATAGCTAAGGAAGGTTGGTACAGTTAAGCTATAGCTCGCTGCAGGTCTATATATTTCAAGAATAGCTCTATAGAGCTACGATTAGGTTAGGACGATCTCTGTACAGGCCCGTATAGGTAAGGAAGACCTGTACCGAAGCCGTTATTTGCAAAGTCTCCTGAGGTTCGCATAGGTAATGCGGACACATATATTGCGCCTTTTTTATTCCCATTTCCCTGGATGTAGCTCTCCTTGTCACTTCAACCAAGCTCCACTGCAATGTGGTTTACACATGGCAAAACATTCACACACACTCGCAACGTTTTAATTTTCCACCTTTTGATTTTATTATGGCCAGGCCTTTTAGCCATAAATGGATGCTAATTAAAGCACAAAGGCGATTATTTACAAAGCAACAACAACAACAACAAAAAGCAAAAGAAAACAACAACAGCGAGAAAAATACCATAAGGCAAAATTGTTCATGACCAAGAACTTGACACTCTTTCTTTATGCCATGCAGTTTATAATTCTCAGATAGCTGAGATGTGGTAGAGGGTGGGCTGGGGTTCGTTATTTGTTTTATGCAATAATGGGAAAATCCAAACATAGGGGAGGGACGAGAGAAAAAATGTGGGGCATGGAAATGGCAAAAATAAGCAAACAAACATTTAAGCCCCATCTTGTGGCCAATTATCCACACAAATTGGCCATAAACACTTAATAAAAAAAATCGAAAGTGAAATTATGCAGAATAGCCACAACGAAGTGTTCGCCTAGCTTCCAGAAGCCAAGGTGCTGCTGCAACAGCTGCTGCATGTTATGGCTTGTTTACATCGTTGGAAAAAAAAAACTTGGTCAAATGCCAAGGAAATGTTCGTTGCTTTGGCTTTCTTACGAAACATGGTTATGAACGTAAGAGTGATGGCGGGAGAAAAAATATTGGTAAAAGAAACGGGTCCCCCACAACTTTGTGTGGCATGATTATGATAATGATGAGCTATTACAACATCGAAGTAATAACAACAATAACAACAACAATAATACTAATGCTCTTTGTTTGTCTTCTATTTTGATTTACAGATTGGCAAGCAGGCTCCCTATTATGTGGGTGCCTCACAGACATTACCACGTGGGATGTATACCGATCGCAATAAGGTGGCCATGGGTAAGTATGGCTGTCAGCTGTCATTCATAATTTTTTTTGAGATTTTGTTATTGTTTTTGTCTTATTTCGTTTTTGGTTATGTTGAGACCTTATCACCTGACCTACCTACTGTCTTTTTCTGTTTTCTGTTCGAAATCCCTTGTATCAACCTAACTTTGGCCCCTCTTGTGTGCATGCTTCATTTCTTCCATTCCAGTTAATATTTTTTTTGTTACACCTTGTTTTTGTTGTTATTGTTGTTGTATATTATTTACAAAATGTTTGTTAATTCAATTGTATAAACAAAAAAATATATAAATATATATGTATGTATATGATGTGATTGCTTAGGAACGCCATTGAAACCTTTAAGAACGCCCAACTCCAGGGGTAGCATGGAACCCTTGTTTCCTTATCCCCCGGATCAGTTATACAGTATACCAGGTACTTGTTATTACAACAACAAAAAATACAAAAAGAAAAAAACAACAACAAAAATTTGAAGGAGGAGGAGTTCAAAATTGGAATTTGACGGATCAAAAACTACAAATGACAGAATTGGCACCACCGAAAACAGAGCTGTGGAATTTGAGGTCAAATCAAGGAGACCCCATACAAGGGCATTTTTTTATATTCTGAATTTTCTATAGGGAAGATATGGAAGCAAAATTAGGATCCTTTAAGTGAGGAGAACCTCCATTAAGTTAGATAAGCTACGGAGAGGTCTCTTTAGGAACTTGTTGGAGTCCGATACAATTAAGTAGAAGGACTGTGGAGGTCCTTAGATTCCAAGAATAGCACAATAGAGGTTCGATTAAGTTGGAATGAAAACTGTAGAGGTCCGTTCAGGTAAGTACATATTCTTCTGAAGCAATAGAGATTTATATAGGTATGGAGGAACCCTATTGAGGCCTGTATAGTTAAGTAGGATACTTGCTGAGGTCATTATACTCGTAAGAAAGAAGACATAGGAAGTTGGTGAAGTAGGAACTCTGTATGCCAATAGACTCAATAAATGCTCAAAGTTGGAAGGAACACGGTAGAGGCCCGTTAAGGTATGGTGGAACCCTATTGAGGTCTGTATAGGTAAGGAGGATACTCGAGGAGATCATTATATGTAAGGAGAACTCTTTTATAGGTTCTTATTTCGATGTATTTTGAAGTCCGTATAGGTAGGAAACTTTACAGAAGTCAATAAGATGAAATAGGAGCTCTATGGGGGTCCGTATAATTATCAGTAGGTCTACGGAGCATCGATTATGTCAGGATAAGCTCTGTAGAGATCCGATTAGGTAAGGAAGACTTCTTTTGGTGCCTTTATTGATAAGGAGTAGCTCAATAGAGGATTCTATTGGTAAGGAGGTATAAAGTTTCGATTAAGAAAAGAGGAACTCTGTAAAAGGAGGCTTCATAAGGCCCCTAAATGTAAGAAGAACCTTTTTACAGGTCCCTAAAGGTGTGTCTGAGCTCTATAGAAATTCGTACAGGAAAGGAAATGCTCATCTGTCTAATTAAGAAATAGCTATATAGAGGTTCAATTACTTTATAATCAGCTCTGTAGAGGTCCATTTAGGTACGTAGTACCTCTTCTAAAATAATTGTTGATAGAGAATAATTCAGTAGAAGTCCATATATGTATGGAAGATCCCTTTTAAGGTCACTATAGGTAAGGAGGAGACTTCATGAGGTCCTTAAATGTTCAAAGGGCTATTTTATAGGTTCTTATAGGTATGTATGAGCTCTGTATAGGTCCGCATAGTTAAGGAAATATTCATCGGAGGTTGGTATAGTGGAGTAGGAGCTGTTTGGAGGTCCGTAGAATTCAAGAATAGCAAAATAGAGCTTCGTTTAAGTCAGGAGAAGCCCTGTGGAGGTCCGTTTGGGTCAGGCGTACCTCTGCCGAAGCAGTTATTGGTAAAAAGGCTCATATAGGTATAGTTTGATTAGGTTAGTAGGAGCTGTATAGAGACACGTTTAGGAGCAGTTCTTGGGAAAGAGTAATTCGTTAGAGGTTTATATAGGTATGGTGCCAGGAGAAGCTCTGTAGAGGTATGTTTAGGTTTAGGAGGACTTATTCTGGAGCCACTATTGGTGAAAAGTAGTTCAATTGAGGTTCATATAGGTATGAAGGAGCCCTTCTAAGGTCAGTATAGGTAAGGAGAAGACTTCTTGAGGTCCCTAAGTGTATAAAGAACTCTTTTAAAGGTCCCTGTAGGTCTGTAGATGTCGGTATAGTTAAGGAAATACTGATCGGAGGACGAAAAACTAAAGTAAGAGCTTTTTGGAGGTCCCTATAATTCAAGAATAACATAATAAGAGGTTCGATTATGTCAGGAGAAGCTCTGTAGAGGTCCGTTTAGTTATGGAGGACTTCTGCCTAAGCCATTATTGGTAAGAGACAGCACAATAGAGGTATATATAGGTATGTATGAACCCTACTGAGGCCTTTATAGGTAAGGGGGAGACTTCATGAGTACAGTAACTGTAAGAAGATTCCTATAGCTATGTATGAGCTCTATAGAGGTCCGTATAGGGGTCCATATAATTGAAGAAGTGCTCAATAGAGGTTCCATTAAGTAAGGAGGGGCTTTGTAGAGGTTGGTTATGATACGGTGGACTTCTGTCTAAGCCTTTATTGGTAAGAGGCAGCACAATAGGAGCGTATAGGTATAGGAGGCCCATATAGGTAAGGAGGATCTATTAGGTATTGTGAAATCATTTTTAAAGGTCCATATAGGTATGTACTTGCACTATATATATGCACTATAGGTATAAAGGAAAACTACTGAGGCCCATATAGGTAAGGAGGATACCTGAATTTTGTCTCATTTTTGCAAATATTCCGCCTCAGAAAGGTCCCTATAGGTATGTATTTTCACTATAGGCAGTCATATAGTATAGAAATAACTTTAAATGCAAATACGCCAAGAATTTGAGTACCTTTTCGTCCTTGGAATAGATTAGATCAAGTCAGTGGTTTACTGAAACTTTTTTCAGTTAAAAAATCGTCAGTTTTTCCTCCATTTATCAATTATTTGCCTGATAATTCTTTAGATTTTATGAGGCGTCAGCAGAAAATCTGCCTGAAAAAGAAATGGCTTTAAGTGACGTTTTGGTAAAAAAATATTTCAGAAATGCTCCAACTTCTTGAAATATGTTAAAGGAATTTTTTTTAAATGAATTTTTGAAGTCTTAACCCTCAATTCCACAGTTCTGCCATATCGATCATTGTATATTATTATCATCCAAAACACATACGAATTGGTTTAATGTAGTTAAAATTATTATATATTTTTTTAAATACGTAGCTTTATATTTTTTTTTTATAAAATTTGATTGAGTAAAAAATATGTTAAAATTTTTTCAAAGTAGCTTTGTTGACAACCTTTTGCCTATTTTATCGATTTTTAATTTTAATAAAATAACTTTCCAGATGGTTATACCAGTTCACCGGAACGATCAACACGTGGCAATTATGAAGAACCCTCGTATTATCAATATGGTACAAGGGGTACGGTGATAGCGCCCATTATTGATGAGGAACAAACGTAAGTGGATATTTGGGGAGGGATGGGTTTCAAGTATTTTGTAATAAACATATTATTGTTATTACAGCGAAGTTACCATGACTGAAGACCAATATGCTTTGTATGGCATTAAAATGGGCCCTGCTGGCCGTATACCCCGCAATAATCAAATGTATGATCCGACAAGGTAAATATCAAACTTTTTTTTTTTTTGATTGAACATATTTGAGTGGTGTCTCATCCCAAGGGTATTTGGCGTCCAAATGTTAGATCTAGAGTAAGACTGACACTACCACGAGCTCTTGAGATCTTCAACGTTTAGCAAGGTCCTAATCCACTTTTCAAGCACTCTAATAATCAACTGATTAATTCGTGGCTTTGTTTTCCAGACCATCTTAATACATAAAGTTAAAAAACCGATCCGAAGTCTAGAATAGATTTTATAGAAAATGTGCCAACTTAAAATATTATAAAAGGAACGCCACCTACTGGTCATTAATACATAGCAACATTGACATTGAATGTCCAGTCAATACTGGGTGACACAAAGGTCATCTACATTAGACATACACTGATATGACGATCTCAAGGTTATTCACAATAGGTATTATAAAATATTTGTAGGATATATATATCGTCAGGAAATTTTTATAGAGGAGAAATTTTCTATCTGAGGACTTTCTTCTTTGCAAAATTTCTTAAAAAACCCCCGGTATAGAAAGAACAGAAATCTTCTGTCGGAGGTCTTCCCTGATTCCAAATTTCTCAAAAACCCCCCGATATCTGACTTACCTTTAACAATTACCATTAAGAGTAAATGGACTGGACAATCCGACACAGGAGATATCCACCAAATGATTAAAACGCTGGATTTAAATTAAATTCACGAAGGTTTTTTGTTCTAATTTTATTTAATATTTCGACGCCTCCGAACCATATTATGCTAAGTCGACTTAACAAGTTTTAAAGTTCTTTACGTTTTTAGATACTACGGTCCTTAATGTATATTCTCTGAAATTTTGATAATCATCGGCCAATCAAACACAAAGTTATAAGCAAAAATGTATGCATGGCCCTTAAATTTATGAAATTTTAATTTCAAATCAGGAAAATTTTTGGTTTAATTTTTATTGTAATATTTTTATTTCAATTATTTTCCTTATAATAATATTGATAGGGATTGGCCGATTGCCAATAATTATAATTTGTTGACGGTGCAATAGGTGGCAGTGATGATCGACGACTTCTGCGATATACCTTAATACGTTTTACATTGGTCATGGTGGCTGCGGTTGAGGTCATAGGATGGAAATAGGTACCACCTGGAAATGAAAATATGAAAAATGAAATATTTAATTTACTGAAAAAATGTTACAAAAAGTTAGAAATCCGATTCGAAGTCTAGAATATATTCTCCTGAAAATGTGTGCAACTAATAATAAAATGTTAGATAAGGAACACCATCTACTGCAGGTTAATATCTAGCAAATTTTCGAACCGCTTATCAAAGACTTTATTCAAGATTAGCTTCCAGACAACCTCAAATACTGGGTGACACAAAGGTAGCCTTTATTAGCTATTCACTGCAGATGATGATCACAAGGTGACTCACAAAGGGTATTATAAAATATTTGTTGGGCCTATATAGAAATTATTAGAGAAGAAACGCCACCTACTGGACATTAACATTTAGTAAATTTCCGAAGCACTTATCAAGAACTTTATTCACATTGAGATTCCAAGGAAAGCTAAAATACTGGGTGACACAGCGGTCATCTACATCAGACATTCCACTGGAGATGATGATCTCAAGGTGACTCGCAAAGAGTATTATAACATATTTGTTGGACCTACATGGGCAGGAATTTATTAGAAAGAAAACACCATCTACTGGTCATTAACATTTAGCAAATTTCCGAACCACTTATCAAAGACTCTATGCACATTGAATTTTCCGACAACCTAAAATACTGGGTGACACAAAAGTCATCTTTATTAGCTATTTACTGCAGATGATGATGACAACGTGTCTCACAAAGGGTATTAATAAATATTTGTTGGACCTATATGGGCAGGAAATTATTAGAAAGGAAACGCCACCTACTGGACATAAACATTTATCAAATTTCCAAACCACTTATCAAGGACTTTATTCACGCGTTGAGTTTCCAGACAACCTCAAATACTGGGTGACACAGCGGTCAAAGAAACGCCACCTACTGGACATAAACATTTAGCAAATTTCCGAACCACTTATCAAAGATTTCAGGTTGACGGGAAACTCAATGTAATCCCGTCAACCTGAAATACTTGGTGACACAAAGATGATCTACATTAGGCATTCACTGGAGATGATGATCTCAAGGTGACTCCCAAAAGGAATTATACCGACAGTAAATTTCTGTAGAAATGAAATCTGCTGTCTGAAGACTTCCTTGATTCCAAATTTCTCATAAATCTCTTGGTATAAAAAGAACAGAAATCTTCTGTCTGAGGACTTCCTTGATTCCAAATTTCTCAAAAATCCCCCGATATCCTACTTACCTTTACTCTTTATGGACTGGACAATCAAACACAGCAGATATCCACCAAATGATAGAAACGATAAAGCTGTGACAGTGATTTGAAATAAAATCTGTAACTTCGAAGGTTTTTCCTCCTCCCACGACTCGTGGTGATGCGATGGTGCATAACCCGGGTGAGGTGGTTCCACATAACCTCTAAAATGCGACAAAAAAAAAAAACATTTAATACTTTAAAAAATCATAGATTTCAAAAACATTACCTCGATTCCGCCACCAAGGCCATTGAAGATGGCTTCAAGCACTTGCCCTCCTTCATTTCCTCACAATTGCCTGCCTCCTCGGCCTCCGTTTCCAAATAACGATTTTCCGGTTCCGGTTGCATCAAATCGATCTTATTAAGAGAACGTTGCAGCACCAATAACTCGCTGATAGATAGGTCATGTAGACAATTGCTGAACAAATGGGGATCGGTAACTAGGTTGGGGGAAAAAGAGAGGGATTTTAATTGGGATTCTGGGAAATTGTTTTATTTTTTTAATTACCACTACATGTATCTGCCGCTTCCATGTTCTTTTCACTCTTCACGTCAAGTGACAACTGCAGCAAAAGGAAAATTCCAAATGAATGACAAAAACGAATTTGTCTCACAGACCTGGAAAGTTGTGGCGCCGGCAGAATAATTAACAGAGCGTGTCGGAAGAAAGAAAACATTTAATTTTAGTATTTTTTAGGTCTCAAGATGCAGGCAGGGATGGGAGGGCATTTTGGAAGGCATTTGAGAACATTTTGGACACCATTGTAGAACTTAATAATATTTGAGACCTCCATAGGAGACTTCTATAAAATTTACGGCCTCCACGCCAGACTTCTAAAGGATAGTATACCTTCTTTGGTGAATTCTATAGAATGGTAGACTTCCATTGTAGACTTTTTTAAAATACCCATTGGTCCATTGGAGACCCCTTGGGAGACATCTATAGAATTGTATAGGTTCATTGGAGAATTTTACAACGTATACGATTATAGAGCAGAATGCGTTTCTTAGAGACTTTTGTAGTATAGAAGACCTCCACTGAAAACATCATAGACCTCTTTCGAGACTTCTACAGAACGGAAGACGTTCATTGGAGACTTCTATAAAATAAAATAATCCTTTTAGGCTCCTCTGGAGACTTCTGTGAAATGTAGAACCTCCATTTGAGGCATCTAAAAACTCGGAGACTCCTTTGCACACTTCTACAGAACTGAAAACGTCCATTGGAGACTTTTTGAGTAAAGAAGAACTCTAATGGAGACTTCTATAAAACATTAGAACTTCTATAAGCAATTAGAATAGAAAGTTCCATTGGAGACTTCCATAAAATATAAGAATCTCCGGTGGAGACTTCAAGAGAACAAAAGTCCGCCTTTGGAGGAATATATAATATGGAAAATCTCTATTGGATATTTCTATGGAAAAACATCTCCATTGTAGAATCCTTTAAAAATAAGAAATCTTTTTTGGAGACTTTTACAAAATAAAAAACACCTCAAAGGGCTCTCTAGATCGAAGTAGGACCATATTGGACCCCTCTAACCAACCTCAAATATAATAAATTTAATTACCTTCCAATCTAATTTTTTATTTCCTTCGTCTTCTCCTATTTTTCCAGACCCGAAGACTTGCATCGCTTTCGCGTCGAACATATGGAACGCCAGCTGGCCAATTTGACTGGCCTCGTGCAAAAAGCGTTAGTAAATCAAAATCCACAAATAGCTCCCATACCAGTGCCAACATTGGATCCCAACTATTTGGTAGTACCCACACCATGCCATGGTATGTTAGTTAGTTTCGTTCGGTTATAGCCACATCCGCCGCAAATTAGCGACACTTGGTTTCATGCAATGGCAACGCGTGCCAAGTCATCAAATAATTTTTTTATTATCAATTTTATTGTTGTTATTTTTATTTTATTGTTGTTATTGTCATTTAAGACGTCACCGCTTTTGCCAAAACATTTCATTTATAATTTTTAGTGTAAACAAAATTTCACCTGCAATTTTTTTTTTTTATTTTTCACTCTCATCATACACTGAGAAAAAAGTTCTGTTCACATGGCTTTTACTAACCTAAAATGTTTTTAAATATTATTTTCCAAATGCTATTAACCTGTCAAACACAAACACGGCTTTATCGAAAATTATCACATTTTAGTTAATGGTGCCGGTGATGATCAGTATGTTAGAGAAAAGGCTCCCAAATTGGGTAAGAATGCCTGTGGTAAGTATATTCGTGAGAGTCCCGAAGGTCTTCAATGATGGAGGGTCAAGGCCAGGAACAAGTGACTGAAATATCCTTAAAGGCCTCTTCATAATGGAGATCCCTGAATGATTCTAAGGATATTTTAAAGGGTTGTATACTGCCTCCTTTTGAAAGGTCCTGTAAGTTCTTGTTTTTGTCCTTGACCTCCCACCTTATTAAATGAATTCTGAGATTTTTGCAAATCATATCCAAAGTTCCAAATCATTATGAAACTATTGCTAATCCAAAGTTTTTTTTCTGTGGTAATAATTTTTTGTTATAGGAAAATCGGTATCCTTTGAGAAGAGCGTATCCTTTAGTGATGATATACAGGGTATCCCAAAATCACATAGTCCTCAACATGCTGGTAATTTTTTTAAAAAAATACGATTTTTTTGATTTTATATAAAATTGTCTTTAATATATACAAAGAAAGTGCAGATTTATGCCACAAACAGCGACCCCAATACCTATAGAGAATCTGTAGATCTCATATTACTCTGTGAGAGAAATGGGAGACTTCTATAGTTCATCCGATGGGGACTTAAATGTATTAAATTCCTACATTGGAGACTTCTATTGAATAAAACAGCTTCATTGGAGACTTCTGAATCTGTAACCTCTACTGGAGACTTTTGTAGAAATGAATAAACCGCTTCAAAAATTTCTATAGACTGGAACACCTACTTCGGAGATTTCTATAGAACCGAGTAAACTAATTGGAGACTTATGTTGGAAGAGAAAATCTGCATTGTAGACATCTATAAAATAAAATGCCTCCATTGGAGACTTTTATGGAATAGAAGACCTTTATTGGAGACTTTTATAGAATATAACACCTCCATTGGAGTCGTTTGTAAAACAAAAGACCGCCATTGGAGACCTCTTTAAAACATAATATCTCCATTGGAGACTTCTGTAAAACAAAAGATGTCCATTGGAGACTTTTATAGTACAGAATACCTCTATTGGAGACTTCTATCAAATAAAATTCCATTGGAGACTTCTGTAAAATAAATTATCTCTATTGGAGACTTTTGTGAAATAAAATACCTCATTTGGAGACTTCCGTAAAGCAAAATGCCTCTATTGGAGAGTTTTATAGAATAAAACACCTCCATTGGAGACTTCTACAGAAAAAATTCCATCATTGGAGACTTCTATAGAATAAAATATCTCAGTTTGAGACTATTATAGAATATAAAACCTCTATTGGAGACTTCTGTAAAACAACAAATCTCCATCGAAGACAATTATCCCATATAATGCCATCATTGGAGATACAAACAAAAAATCTTCATTGGAGACTTTTATTGACCACAATAATCCGCAGAAGAGCCTGTGGAGCTTGACCTCCTTTATAGTTCGTAGAAGACCAAACGACCCTCCGATATACTATACTCCATTGAAGACCTGAAGGTGTTCTGTGTCCCACAGAATATGTGAGGTTCTTCCGAGGCCAAAATGAAATCTATGGTCCAAAAAAAGCTGCGGGTTTTTTATAGTCTGTAAAAGGTTCGAGAATCTTCTAAAGTTCACATAAAACTGATAATGTTTACTAGGGTTTAAAAAACATAAGCATCTTCTAAGGTCCGTAGTCTCATATAATCCACAGAAGTCCTATGGGTGGTTCATATAAGTTTCTTCTAATGCCTATGTAGGACCTAAACTTAAAAAAATCTAATGCTTTTCTGGAAATCATAAGAACCCTGGGGGTCTTCTAAAATCAGAAAAAGCCTTTGGAGTTCTATATGAACCATAGAAGTCCTGAGAATCGTCCATAGGGGTGTCTTCCACAGTTCATGGAGGACCCAAGAGCCTTCTCAAGTTCGCAGAAGCCTTTGGAGTTTCATATAATCCATAAAAGTCCTGAGAATCGTCCATAGAAGTGTCTTCTAGAGCCTATTGAGAACCTAAGAGGTTTTTTAGATCGTCTAAAAGAAGATGTAAACACTTTGTAGAATTTTTGTATTTGTATATTTTCCGATATCTTTGGTATTTTTTAAGCTACAGCTATATATTTTATACCAATACTCAGATTAAGTTCCCTACTTTCAATGTTTCTACGATCAAAAATACCTAGCTGTAGCATAAACATGACTTAATCGGCAAATAATATTGTATAGCTAAGAAATGTGACAGATTTTGAGTATTTGTATCATTTTGGTGATATCTCGGATATTTGTTAAGCTACAGCTACATATTTTATATCAATGTGAAGATCAAGTTCTCTACTTTTAATGTTGTTCTGAGCAAAAGTACCTAGCTGCAACAGAATTATGAATTTTTGGGCAGATAATATTAACGCAATGTACTTAAATTTAGTGTACCACATGGCGTATGACTGTTGTCGTAAATCATACGCCCCCACATACTCAAAAGAAAACCTAAGGGTTTACTATAGCTCGTGGAGAGTCCTCTATACTATACACATATTCTGATACTGGATAAATATCTGGAACTTTTCCAATCCATAGAAGGTCTGTGGCTTTTCTATAGACCATAGAAGACATGCGCTGGTTCTGTGCTTCATGGAAGATAAGAGGGTCTTCTACTGTCCATAAAAAACATAAGGGTCCTCTAAAGTCTACAGAAGACGTGGGGTTCTTCTAAAGTCCATAGAAGAATTAAGGATCGTCCATGTTCAATAGAAGGCCTCAGGAAGCCCTTTAAGTCTGAACCGGTCTATATAAGATCTGAAATTATTTTAGGGTTCAGCGAAAAGTCTTCTAAGGCCTATACGTATCTTATTCTCCATGAAGATCTGAAGGTCTATCCAGTCATTAAAAAAAATATAATGGGTTTCTATATTCTATAGAAAAATCTACAGGACTACTATCCTGCATAGGTTCCTATAATGATTCCACTTGGACTTTCTGGCATAAATCTGTACTTTTTATACTCGTATTTCTATTCTGCATGTTCAAATTCTTCTTATTTTCCGTTTTAACTACATATTTTTATTATTTGCCATAAAGGTATCCGTACCGAACTAAGACCCCCTCTTTTAGTAGTTTTGGACCCCATTAAAAAAACCTAACCACACTGCTTTAAATTTCCAAGAAGAAAATATCCGCTTCTTTTGTAGCTTCAAGTTTTGAATTTCTATGCCTCTACCCCTTCTGAAAAATCAACTTCTAAACGTAGTTTTTGTGCATGCCTTATTCCGACCCTTGTCAGTGTTCTGAAACCATAATTTAAAATTTTCAAAAATAATAATAATGTGTTTTATAAAAACAAAAACAACAACACTTCAATGTTTGTGAACATGTAAAGCTGATACCAAGCCCACAAAACCAGCCATTAAGTCCTCCACTTTGCCAAGAACCTCATCACAAGGTAAGAGCCAAGGTTAATATCGACCATGAATGACACGCCTATCTTTTGCACATAAAATTCTTGTGTGTAGAAGCTTCTAAGACCTCCTCTCCAATTGAATATCCAACTAACTCTACATATTTTCTCTCTCCTCCCTCTAGAACGTGATCGCCTTAAACCGCCACCACCTCCCAAACCCATGGTATTGGCCCAAACGGCCCACAACAATTATCGGGCCGATATTGCTCTGGCCCCTGAGGTCTATAATCATTTAAGGGGTCTGCAAAAGAAAGCCAAAGATTTAAGAACCGAAGTGAGAACACTGAGGAGGTTGTCTCAGGCCCAAGCCGTGGCCGTCCGTGAAGATATTAAAAGTACATTTATGCGTATTCGTGCCACCCTCTTGGCCAGCAGCGGTAGTATATGGGGTCATCAGGATCAAGATGCAACGAGAATATCACGTGAGGAGGAGCTGTACAAACAGGAGGTAATACGTTTGGAAAAAGATTTAAGTGATTTGGAATCATCGGTGGAGAGTCTAAGAGGAGAGGTTATTAATCGTAGGACAAGAGTTAATATGACAGCGGTGGAGGATATGGCTTTGGTCCTGAGCAGAGCTAGGTGAGTTGGGTAGCATTTTTTTTAATAAATTTGATTAATGAATTGATTTTTTTCAGTAAAACCGTTGCCGAACTAAAAATGAAATTCCCCGCCTTGTCCAATGGCCTGCGCTGTATTTTATCGAATGAAATGGAAAAAGTCGTCAGAGAAGAAAAGTTCCTAAAAGAAGAACCCGATCGCTTGGAATCGGCATTGCGTCGGTGCAAAAAGTTAACTGGTACTTTGGTGACATTGAAGAGGTGAGTGATTTTTGTTTTTAGAATTAAATTTAGGCCTTGAAATTGCAAACAAAAATTGACGGAACATTTTTCAGATTTTGAGTATTTGTATATTTTTGGCTATATCTTAGTTATTGGTTAAGATAGAGCTATGTTTTTTATATCAATATGAAAATCAAGTCCTCTACTTTCAATGGTGTTCGAGCGGAAAATGCATAGCTGCAACGTAAATAGGAATTTTAGGGCAGATAATACCGAATTGCTATGAAATGTGACAGAACATTTTGCAGATTTCCAGTATTTGTATATTTGTGGCTATATCTCTGATATTTGTTAAGCTACAGCTATATATTTTATATCAGTGTGAAGTTCAAGTTCTCTATTTTCAAGTTAGTTCTATTCAAAAATACCTATCTGCAATATAATTATGATTTTTGGCAGATAATATAGTATTGATAACAAATGTGACAGCTTTTGAGTATTTATATCATTTTAACGATATCTCGGGTATTTGTTAAGCTACAACTATATATTTTACATCAATGTAAAGTTCAAGTCCTCTGCTTCGAATATTGTTCGGAGCAAAAGTACGTATCTGTAACATAATTATGAATTTTTGGGCAGATAATACTAACGCAAAACACTTAAATTTAGGGTAGCACACGGCGTATGACTATTGTCGTAAGTCATACGCCCTCTGGTAAAAAGACGAGGGAATGAATATCTATGGAAGCATGTGTTTAGCCTCAAAGAATCCGAGTAGGAAATTAGACACGTATTATAAATGTCTACCATTAGGCTGGAAAAATATAAATAAAAGAATTCGACTAAAGGGGTAGCTGAAAAATGTGACATTTTCAGATTTAAAGTATTTGTATCATGTTGGCGATATCTCTAGGAGGTCTTAAGCTCCAGCTATATTTTGTATATCAATGTAAAGCTGAAGTCCTCTACTTTCATCTATGTTCTGACCAGAAATGCCCAGCTGCAACACAAATATGAATTTCTGGGCAGATAATATTGTATAGTTACAAAAATATGACAGATTTTGAATATTTATATCATTTTGGGGATATCTCCGATATTGCTAAAGCTATGGCTATATATTTTATATCAATTTAAAGATTAAGTTCTCTACTTTCAATGTGGTCTTGGGCAAAAAACACATCTCTAACACCAATATAATTTTGGGACAAATAATACTAACGCAATGCATTTAAATCTAGTGTACCACACGGCGTATGACTGTTGTCATAAATCATACGCCCTCAGGACGAAAATAAACGACGGAATATTTATGGAGGGTGATTTTTAGCCCCAAAAAAACCGAATCAGATATTAGCCACATATTTATAATGTCTACCATTATACAAATATACAGAAAAGTCTTCGACTAAAAATATGAGGTAACATTTTGCAGATTTAGATTATGTGTATACTTTTGTCAATATCTCGGGTACATGGTAAGCTACAGCTAAGTATTTTATATACATATAAAGCTGAAGACCTCTACTTTCATCTATGTTCTGATAAAGAATGCCTAGCTGCAACACCAATATCAATTTCTGGACAGTTAATATTGTATAGCTAAAACATCTGACAGATTTTAAATATTTATATCATTTTGGGGATATCTCATTTTGTGGATATCTCTCTCAAATATTTATGGAGGGTGATTTTTAGCCTCAGAGAATTCGAAGCAGGTATTAGGCACATATTTATAATGTCTACAACTAGGTTGAAAAATATACAGTAAAGAATTCGACTAAAAATTTGAGGTAACATTTTGCACTATACTTTTCTCAATATCTCGGGTACTTGGTAAGCTATAGCAAAATATTTTATATAAATGTAAAGCTTAAGTCCTCAAATTTCATTCAAAATTTGACCTAAAATGTCTAGCTGCTACACAGATATGAATTTCTAGCCAGTTAATATTGTATAGCTAAAACATGTGAAAGATTTTAAATATTTATATCATCTTGTGAATACCTCTGATATTTATAAAGCTACGGCTATATATTATATATCAATTTGAAGATTAAGTTCTCTACTTTCAATGTTATTTTGTTCTAAAATACATTTCTGCAACACAAATCTGATTTTTGGGGCAAATAATACTAACGCAAAGTATTTCAAGTTAGTATGCCACACTTTGAGTATTTGTATAATGTTCCCCGTATATCTTATGTTTGTTGACCTACAACTATATTTTAGATATCAGTGTGAAGCTGAAGTCCTCTACTTCAAATGTTATTCAGGCTAAAAATACCCGGCTGCATCACAAATAGGATTTTAATGCCAAATAATACTGCCACAAAGTATTTTTATGGAGTGTGCCACATGGCGTATAACTATTGCCATAAGTCATACGCCTCTTAACCTCAATAAGAAAGTAGACCAATTTCTTGCCTACTTCTAGGCGAAGAACTTCATTAATTTAAAATCATTTTTTATTACCAGAAACCCATTATTTTAGACCAAATACTTACCCTTTAACTCATAAGATCTACAAAGTCACAAAATATCAAATTTTTGGAAGATTTACTAGTGTCTTGTTATTGTTATTGTTTTTTTAATTAATTTATTTATTTTTTCTCATCCAATTTCAATCGAATACTTTATGAGAATTTTTATGTGCAATGAAATTTAATTTCATATTCATTTTGTGGTGGCCTTGCCGTACGCAATTTTGTATGTCGTTTCATGTCAAAACAACTTATTCATGTGTCGGATTAAAACAGTTAGTCTTCAGCAGACAATTACTGATTGATTGCAATTGAAATCAAACAGAAAAAATCATGAATTAACACAAAGTTTGACTTTTAAATTAAAATTGAAATCATGGGAAACAAAAAAAAGCAAGTCACCTTTGCCCCATGGCATTGCAGGTTAATTAGGGTCTTGTATTTCATGAAGATGATTTGCCTAACAGATAATTAAAATTAATTTCTGGAAATTTCTTTCTTCACTTGCAGATTGGCCAGTGTCCAAGAACAACGTTTACCACCCACTGAGCCGCCAATTAATGAAGATCCACCCCGTTCCGCTGATGTACCCGTACCCGATAAGGTAAGTTTAGTTGTAGCTCAACATACGAACACAGTGCATAGTCTTTTCACATACAGACACTCACACACAGTAACACTTACACACACCCAGCAAAAACCGAAAATGCTGACTTAGCCAAAATTCCCAACTATTTCACTGCCCCCCAAACCCCCTTAGCCCCCCTTAACCTATAAAAAAAACAGAAAGCACTTCACTTTTAGAGGCTTTTTTCAAAAACTAAACCAAACAAATTTGAAACCAAAACAACAACAACCAACAAAAAAATAAATGCTAATCAACAACAAAAATACATTATAGTTTGATTTGATTTTGCATTAAAACGTAATTTTTAAAACCATTTATATAGTTGAACAGATTAGTTAACCCATAATTAAGCTAAACTGAATTTTTTACCACCATGAAGTTGAAATTTTATTTTCTTCTTTTTTTTTGAGTTACAAATTTTATGATTTCCGTTTCTTGTTGGAATTTGGGTTTCTAAAAAGACTGAAATTTCCCAAAAAATATATTTCAAATATCCTTGGTTAATTTTTGATTTTTGTTGTTATAATTAATTTACTAAGTAGAAAGCTACAGTTATAACCAACCGATAAAATTCCCATATACTTTTTCCACAAACCAGAATTTTTTGTTTTTTTTCCAAAACCAAACCTATAATTATTTAAATTAGATCTGTGTGTATATACATAACCTAAAACAAAATTTTATTTAATATACAAAAAAATATATAAAAAATATACAGTGGCTCAGGGTTATAATGAATTTTTGAGAAATTCTTAAAAAATTATAAATATTATATATTTATTAAAATTATTTTTTAAAAATTAAAACATAATGAAAATTTAAAAAAAAAATTAAATATTTAATTGTTAGAAAATAATAATAAAGAAATAAATTAATGAAATTATAAATCGTCCATAATAGTGCCTTCTGGAGCCAATGGAGGACCTAAGGGTCTTTTATAGTTCGTAGTAGATTTTGTAGATTTTTAATATTTGTATATGTCAGATATCTTTGGAATTTGTTAAGCTACAGCTATATATTTCATACCTATGTGCAGATTAAGTTCTCCACTTTCAATGTTGTTCCAAACAAAAATACCTAGCTTTAGCCTAAACATGATTTATTTGATCGATAATATTGTATAGCTAACAAATTTGACAGATGTTGAGTATTTGCAGCATTTTGGCGATATCTCGAATAATTGTTAAGCTGCAGCTACATATTTTATATCAATATAAAGATCGAATTCTCCACTTTTAATGTTCTTCCGAACAAAAATACCTAGCTTTAGCCTAAACATGATTTACGTGGCAGATAATATTGTATAGCTAACAAATGTGACAGATTTTGAGTATTTGTATCATTTTGCCGATATCTCGGATAATTGTTAAGCTGCAGCTATATATTTTATATCAATATAAAGATCGAATCCTCTACTTTTAATTTTGTTCCGAGCAAAAATATCTAGCTTTAGCCTAAACATGATTTACGTGGCAGATAATATTGTATGGCTAACAAATATGACAGATTTTGAGTATTTGCAGCATTTTGGCGATATCTCGAATAATTGTTAAGCTGCATCTATATATTTTATATCAATATAAAGATCAAATTCTCTTCTTTTAATATTGTTCTGACCAAAAATGTCTAGCTGTAACACAAATCTTAATTTTCGGGCAAATAATACCGATTTGCTATATAATATGACGGAAAATGTAGCAGATTTCCAGTATTTGTATATTTTTGGCGATATCTTTGGTATTTGTTAAGCTACAGCTACATATCTTATATCAGTGTGAAGTTGATGTCCTTTATTTTCAACTTACTTCTGCCTGAAAATACCTACCGATAACATAATTATGATTTTTTTGGCAAATAATAAAGTATTGATAACAAATGTGTCAGATTTTGAGTATTTGTATTATGTTAACGATATCTCGAATATTTGTTAAGCTACAGCTATATATTATATATCGATGTGAAGTTCAAGTCCTCTTCTTTCAATGTTGTTCTGAGCAAAAGTACCTAGCTTCAATAGATTTATGCATTTTTGGGCAGATACTACTAACGCAATGTACTTAAGTTTAGTGTACCACATGGCGTATGACTTACGACAGCAGTCATACGCCCTCCATACTCCAAAGAAGACCCATGTGCTTACTATAGCTCGTGGAGGGATATCTATACTCAAATATTCTGAGACTGGATATATAAGTGGGTCTTTTCCTATAATTTTAAACATATATAAATCAAATATATAAATATATTTGAAAAATATTATAATAAAAATCTAAGAAAATTAATTAATAATATATAACAAAATATAAATAAATTAAGTAGATTTTGAAATAATGTTTAAATAATGTTTTAATTCTTTAAATGATAATAATAAACTAAATAATTCCTTATAACAAAAATAAGTCATTATGGCCCTGTTCCACTGCCCATTGGTTAATCTAAGTATTGTATTTTTGAAATTGAGTTAATGAAATTTGAAATATTTGTTTAATTTAAAAGGATACAATATCAAAATTATTATACATTTTAAATTTATAGTTTTTATACAAAAAAATTATATATTATTATTAAAAAAAAATATTTTTATTAAAAAAATTATTTTTTAATTAAATAACTCATATTTTTATTAAAGAAATATTTATTGTACTTTAAAAAATTTTAAATCTTCAGTTAATTATACCTATGTTGCAATTGGCCATAAAATTTTATGTTGACTTTCAAATAATTTAATTTCAATAATTTTAATTTTTCCCTTAACCTCTCTTCATTCAAAAGAAAAAAATAAAATCAAAATATCGTAAAGCAAAAACAACAACAAAAAATATCATTGGTGATTTTTATGCTTTAGGTTAATTTTTTATGTTTTATTTTTTTCTGTTACTCTCCCTCATTCAACAACAAGTTTCAAAGAAACGCTTCACCGATTCTTCAGCTAGTTTATAAATCAAAAAAGAAGAAAAACAAAAACTAACAAAAAATTCAAAACTAGAAAAATATCTAAAAGAAATAAACATATAAAAAACGTCTCAAAACTATTAGAGCAAGAAAAAGAACAAACACCACAATTTTGTAGTCAGTTTCGTTTTCAAAGTTTTTCATTTTTTTACAAAAAATCAATGAACAGAATCGGTGCAATCTTATCATTCGAAGACATCATTAGACGCAGAACAGTAATTATTTATTGCATTTTGTTTTAAATTAAAAAACAACAACAGTAACTACATCAAGTCAATTTACAAGGGGAGCCAAATTTGAAGTAACGCAACGCAGGAAGTTAACTGGAGGTTAAACGGAGCGTATTACGTTGGCTTAAAATTTTAAGTCAAGCGATGAAAATGTAGAATTTAAACTCAATGATGTATTTGATTAATTAAACACTTCTAGAATATTTTAAAAAATTTTGTTGCGTATTTAACTTAGACGAACATTTTCTCAGGTTTGAATTTAATTTTTAAACCTTGAAGTATTTTTTTTTTTATTATTGGGACCGATTTTTTTATTATAAATATTCCTGAGACGTTTTAATATTATTTTTGTTCATTTCTGGATTAAATTATTGCTAACGATAAACATTCTATGTACTGAAAACGAATACATTAGCCTGATTACAATGTTTTCTTATGTAAAACAAATTCCTCTATCATTGGAGTATTATTTTTATTTTGAAAAAAATTCTCTCAGACTGAGGGAATGACTGGTTGTGAAAAACTCCGCATGCATCGCATATGAAATATGACCTCACGAGTTCCATTTTGGTTTTCTATTAATAAAAAGGCTTCATTCTTTGAGCGTCTAAAATAAAATCTCCCACCAAAAATTCTCTCAAGGTACTAATATGTTGTATTATAAAAACAATCCCTCACGTCTTCAGAATAATTTTTCCAAGCGGAAAATATTATTGAGGCCAAGCGGCCCTCAATAATATGTTTGAACTGTTTTTATATCATACACAACTATGATGTCGGGGTATTACAGCTTTGTGCAGTTCCATTAGTTGGTAACGCCGCGAAATATTGGTCCCAGACTCACCTTTAAGTATACCGATCATCATACCTCGACTAGCTGAGTCGATCTAGTTATGGATCAATATTCACGAAATTTTGCACATAGGATGGGTTCGGGCCAATGAAGACCCCTATTGTTTTCGGTAAATATTTAGGGGATGAAATGGAACAAAAACTTTATTTTGTCTGTATTTCTGGCAGCTCTAGAGACTGCAATTATAACACAGAGGAAGGGGTCTGACCATAGAATTAGAATGAAATGATGAAATTCCGGTCAAGGACAACGCCTATAATTTTCAATGATGTTGGGATGGTATTTGGGGGTGCAATGAACCCAATTTTTTATTTTGGTCAGATTTTCTAGTTCTTGGGGACATTACTATATGAAGAACGCTATGAAGGGCATTATACCACGATGAAGGGTATCTGACCAAATATTTTGAACGGCTGTTAAGATGATGATTGGTCACTATTCCGACGGTCCAATCAAACAAAACCTAAAGTGACAAAATTTTGATTTTCTGTCGTAAATGTTCTCATCGGGAAAACAAAGCAAATACCGCATAAAATTTGATTTTCGTGGTAGTTGTGTAGGGTATCATATGGTCGGCCGTTCGACTATATAGCGCCGCTCAGTAGTTTTTAGCATATTTTCTTGTTTCAGAAACTCTCTGACATAGAAGTTGAATTTTTCTTCAGTTTTCTCAAGTGTTGGAAATAAATAAATGGGCTCAGAGGACGATTTTTTCTTTGGCATTCCGTACTCAAGGCACATGGGGTCTGCCTTGAGTACGGAATGGGCTTTTCCTATTATGTCATCAGTTTCGGACAACTTATTTTCAAAAATCTGGACTCTTTTACATTAAAGAACAAATTCTCAGTCCTTAGGCTAGGATAATATTTTTATTTAAGAAAATGTCTATAAAACCTGATATTTTATTTTTAGAGAAAAATTCCCTCAGAAATCGAATTTTTTGGGATACCAGCCTTTTTCTAAAGCCTCCGAAAAGTTATCAGCGCTGGTTAACCAATTTTTTCATCTAGAGGAATATCCTCAGATCGAAATGCCTTAAGGATGAATTCTTTTTTGGGATGTCAGCCTTTTTTCTAAAGCCTCGGAAAAGTTAAGAAACTTCGGAATTCATAGGTTAATATTCTTTTTTGGGATGTCAGCCTTTTTCTAAAGCCTCCGAAAAGTTATGCGTTATCCTTAAAAAACTTCAGAATTCCTAGGTTAATATTAACGAGATGTCATTTTCTACTGCATTTTTTTATAAGAAAAGAGCTCAGGTACTGAGTCAAAAACTATTTGTCAAGGGAGTGAGGGATTTTTTCCTATAAAAATTCATGAAATTTGTCCCACCATAGATTTAAGAAAACGTCCTTCATAGGTATTATCGATCTAGGAACTCTACCACAATAGAAAAATACTCCAAGGCTCATAGATTCGTATTAAAAGATATTCTAAATTTTTCTGACAATTTTCTTAAATTTTTAAGGAAATAAATTCTACAGAAAAAATACCCCGAACAACTATTTTTTTTCAATAAAACAAATTATTTTCTACAGCTGGACTCAAATTATTATAGGCTTTCCTCGTATATTGTTATTAATTATTGTTAAATGTGTTATAGAAATCCATTATTTTTATATGAACTATATGACTTTATTTAACATGCTATGGAATGTCCGATTGGGCCAAATATGCAAATCTTCTATACAGCAACTTTGATCAAATTGCACTTGTATTTTTTTAGAAAAAAAAACGTTCGCTATTTGGGAACACATGTCGGACGTGTTGGTTACTTCTATTAAATCACTTCTGTTGCTCTGAAGATTTTGTCCTTTAAAAGTCGACATGCTCTTTGTAGAGTTTGAAGCCCTTTGAGGTCAATAAATAAACCATTCGAAGCCCTTCAAATCCAAGATTATTTGACTTTTTTGTGGAAACCTGAAAGTATGCAAAAGTATATTTCTGTATTTTATACTAAAATAAATGCCCTTTTTCTGTATTTTTTAAATAATTATACTTTGAAGTTTTATTATTTTTGCGCCCATAAGTATACCACGTTTTTGAACTAGCAGCCGTTTAAGTATTTTCAATAGGAGCTATTTATCTCAATTTGGCTCCCCTTAATTTTCAAAAAGAGTTTATTATTTAGACAATTTATTTCCATTAAATCAGTATAATTAGGACGTCATTGTATTAATCAAAACAATTAAAAATCAATCAAAATCAATTAGCAAACGAATCGAATCAAAAGAAAACAGATGAAAAAACCAATCAAAAATTGTTATCCTCTCTTTTCTCTCTTTCTCATTCTACTACTACTACTATTACTTACAACCAATCAACAACAACCAACCAACTACTACTTTTTTAATCTCTTTATGACCTATCATCATAACAACAAACTACTACTACAACAACAACAAAAAACTCTCTCCCCCTCTCTGTCTCTCTACAACAAAGTTTAAATGTTGTTGCAGCATTGCGTGTTATAATTGACCTATAAAAAAATAAAATAAAATAAACCAAACCAAACAAAAATCAAACGTCTTTCTTTCTTTGCTTTTTTCGTTTCTCTTTTTTTTCTTTTGTTACCAACAACGATTCTTTTCTTTTTGACATTTCTTTTTTTGGTAATGCGTGTAGTTTAACTGGCGCTGGAGTTCAAACTTCAAAGAGGCAATCACTGAGTAATGATCCCCCACTTCTTTTTTGCTAAATAATTAAAAAAAAACAAAAACAATCACAAAAGATATAAAAATCTTTAAAAATATATAAACTTATTTTTAAGTTTCTTGGCGTTTGTTTTGTTTTCCATATTCTTCTTTTTGGACTTTGATTGTTAACACCACCCAACTACTTTTTTCTCTCTCTCTAAGCAACAAAACCAGAGAACCTAACAAACAAATTTTCTATTAAAACAATATTTAACTAACCGTATTCAAAAAATAAAAAATTAATATTAGATCACCAAAATCTATATAAATAACTATCTAAAGCTATATGAAAAAAAATAATAATTTAAAACAAATCTAGGTTGATGTTACAATAATGTAATATATTAACAAAAAAAAAAGAAAAACCAAAATCTTAACAAACTTTTTTCAAATTATTTATTTTTTTTTAATTAAAACGCTTGTTAATTGTCCTTTTTGGTTTATATAATTATTATGTTGATTTCAAATTTATTTTTATTAATGTCTTATTTTTTGTATTATTTTCATATAAGAAATTATGTATTTTTAAAAATTTACATTTCACATAATTGCATTATAAATGTTATTTTTTTATGTGCAATTAAAATGGCTTCTTAACTTTGTGTCATGTTTCAAAATTTTATTGATTTATTTATTGGTATATTTATAAACAAAAAATCGTCTAATAATTGGTCCATTAATATACATTATTCTCTCATCAAAGCAAGATCAATCAGTGTTCTTCATTAGCTCTCATCACTCTCACCATCATTACTCATCGTTTGCTCTCATTTATTATTATTATCACTCATGAACGCCATCATCGCATTACTCTACGTTACGTTACGATTGCGCACTAATTAGTCTTATAGTCTGATTAGAAAAACAGAAAATCAGAAAACATTCAGAAGATTTTCATAAAAAAAATTAAAAGAAATAAAATGATAATTAGAAAATATTCCAATCAGATAAAAATTATTTTTTTGTTATACACAAGACCACATATTTCGTCTGGGTATATTGAAATTTATACCATCTTCAAAAATCAATATTTTTCACATTGGGCGCCATCTGCTGGTTAAACATCGGTGTTAATATTAGGAAATCACTTTTTACAGACACAAACCGCAGCTGTGTTGCTGCTACTCGACCATACGTGGCGTTGTGGTTGCAAAGATCATTCCGAAATATAACGGAATATTCAGAGATGGAATACCACAAAATCTATTTCAAATGCGACCAAATGTAAAAAATTATGAAAAAAAATATTTCAAAAATTTCAATATTAAGTTTCATATAGGAGAACATATTTTATATATATCCAAGCATAAATAGGTCCCAAAAAATCTACGGATTCAGAAAGAAAAGATTTCAAAAAAATTTCAATAGATCAATAAGAAATTATTTTAAAAATATCCAAGTATGAGTAGGACCCATAAAAATATTTTTAAAAATATATGTTAATGTACATTTTAAAAAATCCACTCTAATGTAGGATTTTTGAAAAAAAAAAAACATTTTGCGGGTAATCTGGGATCCTAGAAACATATTTCTTAAAGATCCGGGAAAATTATTTAAAAATAATCTATTCTAATGTAAAATCAAGGGATCGTGGAATAAATATCTACATTTTAAAAACCTTTATAAAAACCTATTGAATACAAAACAAAATAATTATAAAAATGTCAAATTTGAAAGTGCAAGGAAGAATATTTAAATAAATCCTCACTTATGTAATATCCCGTTAAAATATTTTGCACATAATCGCCACTAATTTAGGATTCCATAATTCCAAAATCGAACTACATGTATCATACGGGAATAATAATATTTGAAAATTTAAACTCATTGGAACAAAAAGATATAGAAGATGCAGAGAATTAAACACTTAAAGAACCAGTGAAACGAGCAGTACAGTCAGACGGGTGGCTCTGTGATAACCTAAACAACTACCACTACATTACAACCTGTTAACCGATTTGGGGTCAACAGCTCATCTGGCATCTTTTTCGAATTAGGTTTTCCCGGAATGGATGCCATAAGATTCAAAATTTCCTGTATGATGTTCGGATTATAATTGTGTCCTCTAGATCGACTAGAAGACCAAAAATAATGTTTTCGGTCGATTTCATCCCCTAAATAGGGTCTGATCATCACTGAAAATTGTAAGCGTAGTCCTTAATCATAATAGGAACTTCGTGTAAAATTTCAAAACGCGACATTTCTTCTAATGATACTACTAAGCAATATCCGAATAGGTATATATAACTATTATATCTGATTACATATAGCCATATAATCGGTATGTATCAATTTAAAGGCCAAGTTCGATATACTCTCAACTTATCCAGTCTATGTCCTATATGTACGATATAACATGGAATTTTTCACACAAAAGTTTCGATTCATTTGACCCGCTAAATATTGAACATCGTGGAAACAGTCATACTTAGCCGTTGGCTCAATCACCTTCTCCGTGTAAAATTTTGTAAGGTTTGGATCATAAATGTGACGTCTAGACAACAAGAAACAAATAAAGTTTTTGGCCACTTCATACCCTAATATTAACCAAGCATTACCCAAAGCAATAGGCAAACTTCGTTTGTGTTCGGTTTTAATCACCGAAATATTCTCCAAAAATGACCAAATTGCTACATATCACATACAAACATCAATATCTTTACCATGTAATAATATGTCAGTGCAATATCAACTATAGACAATTTTAGTACAACTACATTAGCTATTAAGAAAAACCTGACTATTATTATGTAGATATCACCCCTGAAGATGCAATTTGATAATTGCGAAATATCGGGAAATATTTGAATAAATAAACTAATTTAACAGAAGACCTCAAGCTCAAAGAATCTCATTACCGGAATATCAACAAAAAAGGTTCAAAAAAACACTCAACATAAATATGCCAGAACTGTTACCTTATAGAGAACTTAAAACTAACATAAATAGCCCAATATTTTTTAAATTCAATTTTTCTATTATATAGCCAAGAGCCAGATCATATCTCTGATTTCCTTAACATGTTTAAAAATTTTAGTATCCTATAATAGAAGTTAAATTCTCGGAAAATACACAATAGTAGTCTTTGAAAATTAAGATTTATTAATTTTATGACAATTTTTACTGTAAGTTTATATTGAGTGTGTATAGATCGACCGACGTCTCTAGCATGAGAGCATAATTTGGAGTAAAACTGGGTACGTTTAATATTTTCTTTAGGAAATAACGCTTCAATTTATCTATCTCGTCGAAGTAAGAAAACCCCCAGGCTTCAGCCGCATATGATTGTATTGCCCTGCATACAGATTGATAGACATTCCATTTCATTTGAATATTAACTTCTTTTTTCCCCAGGAAGTTTTGCCAGGTCGAGTTTATAGCCATTTTTGACTGGCTTGTTCTGTTTTGAATGTGTTTTGAGAATGAAAGTTTTGGTGTGAAGGTAACGCCTAGATATTTGTATTCATTTGTAATTTTTATCTCGCTTCCACAGTACGACCATTTCTCACTTCTACTAAGTCGACCGCCATTTCGGAATACCAGAATTTCAGATTTTGCCATGTTAACAGTAAGATTCCAAATACGACAGTATTCTTCAAGATTGATTATCATGGACTGCAGAGTCGATATATCTTCCGACAGTATTACTATACCACATAACCTACGGTCTTAAATAATCACTCATATATTCAATAGTACAGCAAAGTACATACTCATTTGTCATTTTCATTTGTAAATTTTATCATTTCATCATTGTTTTCACCCACAACTGACACTTTAATAAATGTTGAATGTAATTAAATGGGAATTGGCATTATTAAATCATAATAATTAGTATTCAATGTGATATTTAGCATTGATGTTTTTAGTCGGTGAAGTTTTCTTAGGAAACGTGAATAGGTATAAATGTTAGAAGAAAATAAAAAAAAATTCAAAAGAGGAAATCATCAAACAAATTTTGGAAATCCTATGCTTAATCGAATGTATTCGAACATAGTAGTTGAATATTTTAAACAAAGCACAATAGAATGCATACTGATGCTGAACCTTACAATCTAAATTAAGTATTTTTATAAAACAAATATGATTTAAATTGTATAGACGTATATATTTGTTTAATGATTTCCTAGCAGTAAGAAACGGTCCTTCACTCTCTCCATCCATCTACCATTAACCATAAACTTTCCCTCACCGTCCACAATCCACAAAAGATATATTCGATTTTTTAGTTCTTAACTTTCGTAAATTTTTTGTTGTAGCTTCTCATGAAAAATTTGTTAATATGAAATTGACGGAATATATAATTTTTATTTTTTTTTATAATTTTTTCTTTTTTTAAAAATTATGTGGACCATAGTTATAATTTTTGTATATAATTAATTTTTGTAATTTTATATGTGCATGTGGAACTTTTTTGCATAGAAAAGCTTTTTCGAAGTCCCTTATTTCCAATGTGCTGAATTATTTATTGGATGTTTTTAATAGCTTGTTTTGACTGTGATTGGATTTATTTGTCTTGTTTTAACTGGATTGAAATTTCTTGTATTTTTTGTATATGACATATTGACAATATCTGTAGAAAGCTTTCATAATTTAAAAAAAAATCCAATATGAATGTTATAAATATTTTGTGTAAATTATGTACAGAAAGAATATGCTACAAACAAATTTGCTATAGTTAAGGATGTAAAATTAAAAAAAAATAACACTTAACGAAAAAATTGTGTAATTTAATTTCGGTGAGAAATGAAAAGCATAATCCAATATATAAGGTAAAAACTGCTACTACTCCCTGGATATTTGATATTGAATATAGAATATAAAGGTCTACGTTTTGATAGCACAAACAAATTATTTGGAGTACAACTTTCAGTTGTATCAAATATTTTTTTGCAACAAATATTTATAAATATTTAGATTTCTATAGAAGTCCCGCAGTCTTTGAATAATAAAATATCTTAAATGTTAATAATTACGCCTTCCACCACAAGATGACGTCTTTATTAAATTTGTACCCCGAATTATTCGGGAGTTTGGACATCCTTTCCGATTAATTTTTCATATTTTAAGTTTGCATTGATTGCCAAATTTTTCTACCAATATTCTGGAAAATCGGTCCCACTTTTGGTATAGCCCTCAGGCCGCCCGTTACTCTAATTTTTTGGTATTTTAGCCCCATTTTTCTAGCTGAGTGTTTGTGGTTTGGTATTATATTTTCTCCTGACAGCAATTTACTATAGAATAATTTCATTTAAAAGTTGCGATCGTTTTCCGGTATATTAAATTTTAACATCAAGGTGGAGGGCATAAATAGTTCGGCCCGGTCGAGTACGTTACTTTTTCCAAAAATAACAATTTTCCATCTCTGGGAAATGATAGCCTTTATGTGGTTACAGAGCCACCTAGCGGCATATGGTGCCGTGTTATATAATCTTCTCTTCGGGTGTATGTCTCTGCTAAGTCACTGTTTACCATTTCAACAGTAGATAGCCGCTGCAGATCATTCCTCCTGTCATCCGCATGGTGGTTTAAATTATGATCCACAAAAAAAAACTTTTTTATTAAAAATATTTGAATCCACAAGTTCCTCTCTCACCGAAAAAATTACGCAATTTTTTCAATATTTTTTCCAAAATCCTTGCAAATAATAAAATATTTATTCAACACGATTTTTTTTCCAATTTTATGTTACAATTCTATATTTTGATGGATATTTCTTTAAGAGAATAAAAATCCAAGAACGTTGATAATTTTATAAAAATAAAAAATATTTATTCCAATTAGCCAATCCCACAACCCCGGATGGGGACGTTCGCTGTCGGCGGGGGAGCCCCACCAGAAAACGCACTCGATGCTTTGTTAGATGAATTGAAGACATTTTCAAAGCCTCTAATAGCCAATAATGAGGTAAGAGAGCAAGAGAGGGAGTGAGGGAGGAATAGAAAAAAATTGGTCATTTTGTTTATTTGCAGAACCGACCCGATGATTCCACTTCCGATGACAGTACCCCTTTGGTACAAAGCACCGTAACCACCCAAATTTCCCAGGCCCATTTGTATAATCAAAACGAAGCCAATCTGGCCAATTGCATCAATGAACTAACGGCCCAGAATAATGTGGCCAATTCATCCACACCCAATGCCGTCAATAAACCCATACCAGTTGTACCCCTAATTACCGCATCCAATGTGTCCAGTTTGAGGCGTTTGCATTCGATGCCCACCCAATGTGAGGGTGATATTATACCCATACCGATAATGCGTACCGCTGTGGCCAAGCCACCGGTACCCGAACGTAATGCAGAGCTAATAATGAAGGTGGGTAAACGCATACCGCCACCACCACCACCTCGCACAAGTTCCCGTAGTCCCCTGGCCAGTCCCACAAGTCCAAATGTACCACAAATTATGCCGACGGTTAATGAGACGGAGGCAAAGGATGGTGCCAATGCTGCCATTGTGACGGCGGCGGCGGTGGCATCATCATCAGCCGCCGTTGACAGTGGCGGTGAAACGTCAAGCGGCAACGAATCTGGCAACGACAGCATGCAACGTCAGGTGGCCTTGGAGATGCGCCACCAGGAGTTACTCAAAAAGCAGAAGGTCCTACAGGAGCAGTATCAGCGTTTGCAGCAAATGAGCAAAATGCCCTCGGTTGATATGACAGCGGCGGCGGCAGCTGCTGCAGCATCGGCGGCTGGGGCACCAGTACCCCTACAAAAAATGGGCAGTGAATCGAATATCCAACAGAAAATTAGTTTAACTTTAACCCCAGCGGCTGGCGATAATGGTCAAGGTGGCAACACAACCACCACCACGCTGGGAGTGATTGCTCCCGGCAATGGTCCCTCTTCACTTGTGGCCAATGAGAAAATTATTTTGAATAGGGCCAATTCAACAAATGGTGGTACTACGGGAACGGTAACCAATACAGGCAGCAGCGGAACCAACACCACCACAACTAAACAGGTCTATGAAACGGAAATACTTTAACATAAAGCAAAATTAACCTGGAATGAAACCGCCATAGATATCTGAAGGAAAGAAGGAAGCATAGAATGATGGAAGGAATCAAGAAACGCATCGAAACGAAAAAATCGAACGAATTGACAAGGGAATCGAAAAATTATAGAAAAAAACTCAAACTCCCATAATAAATGGAACTCCCCCCTTTTTCAAAAAAAAGACAAACGACAACGGACTTTCTTAGCAAAAGATTTAAAAAAATGCAAAAAAAATATTTAAACACTAATTGTTAACTTAATTCATATACATTTTTTTATTTGTTAAAATTTATTTTTAAAATAAATTATAACCAAATTTTAAGGTGCACATTTTTTATATATAAAAAAAATTAAAAATATATGAATTAAAAAAAATATAATAAAATTATTAATTTTTAAAAAAGAATTATTTTTTTTAATAAAAAATATTTTTTTAATAAAAAAAATATTTGTTTTTAAATTATTTATTTAAAAAAATATATATTTGTTATTTAAAAAATTATATATTTGTTATTTAAAAAAATATATTTTTTTATTTAAAAACATAGTTTTATAAAAAAACAAAAAAAATAAATAAAAAAAATATTTTGAATAAAAAATATTTTTTTAATAAAAAACATTTTTTTTTTAATATTTTTTATTAAAAAAATATTTTTTTTTAATATTTTTTTAAAAAAAAATATTTTTTTTTTAATAAAAAAGTATTTTTTTAATAAAAAATATATTTTTTATTAAAAAAAATTACTTTTTATTAAAAAAAAAATTATGAAAAAAAATTTAAATAAAAAATATTTTTTTTAATAAAAAATAATTTTTTTTAATAAAAAATATTTTTTTTATATATTTTTTATTAAAAAAATAATTTTTTTAAAAAAAAATATTTTTTATTTAAAAAAAATTATTAAAAAAAATACTTTTTTAATAAAAATATTTTTTTCAATAAAAAATATTTTTTTTAATAATTTTTTTTAAATAAAAAATATTTTTTTTTTAAAAAAATATTTTTTATTATTTTTTATTTTTTTTAATAAAAAATATTTTTTTAATAAAAAATTATTTTTTTAATAAAAAATATATAAAAAAAATATTTTTTATTAAAAAAAATTATTTTTTATTAAAAAAAATATTTTTTATTTAAATTTTTTTTCATAATTTTTTTTTAATAAAAAGTAATTTTTTTTTTAATAAAAAATATATTTTTTATTAAAAAAAATACTTTTTTATTAAAAAAAATTATTTTTTTTAATAACATTTTTTTAATAAAAAATATATTTTTTATTATAAAAATACTTTTTTATTAAAAAAAATTATTTTTTATTAAAAAAAATATTTTTTGTATTTAATGTTTTTTCTTGTTATATAAAAATTTAAAATTTAATTATTTTTTTTAATAAAAAAATATATTTTTTTTAAATTTTTTTAATAAAAAATATTTTTTAATAAGAAATATATAATTTTCCTTTAATCCTTTATAAATATTAATTTTATCATTGTTATAAAGGCAAGCGTATTTTTAAATTAGCCAATATATAAATGTGCGTGTGTGTGTTTTAAAAAATGAAAATTTGTTCTTGAAATTTTTTTTCAAAATTTAATTTTTATTTTTTGCCCTCCCAAATCCATTCAACCAAACAAAAATACAGAAATAACTAATAAAACAAAAATTTTGATATAGAAAAAAATGGATACATATATGAAAGTTAACATATTGTGCACTCAAGTTTTTTGAACAACCAAAACAAGAAAAATAAAATGATGAACATAAAGATGAGGATGAGGAGGAAACGGAAACAGAATTAAGGAAAATAAAAATTAAGACAAACACATACTTACATACATAACAAAAATATATAAAATCAATACTCCATAATTTAAATATTTTAAAATATTCAAATTTACAAAAAAATGAGATAATTTTTTCTAGTAGAAAAAAAATATTGCATGGGATATTTTATATTACAGAAAAAATATTGTAAACTAGCATATGCCCGGCAACTTCGTTAGCGAATGTAGTAAATATTTAAACGTGCATTAACATCGACCATAAATTAAATTTGAGTACCATTTAGAACCAAATTTCATGATTAGAGCTCTAAAGGTTCACTCAAATCTTCCATTTAGCACACATTATTTCCTTAAGTACCCTGTTCAACCATCCAACAAAACTTCATGCATACCCCGATCCTACACCCCACAAAGATTCCAGATTCAAATTTCAGGACTACTCTATTGGTTCACACACAATTTAAATCGTACCAAATTTAGTACGCAGTAGAACGAATTTTCAAAACTTCCTAAATAACCCAATCCTTCAACTTCATCTAAGTTTCAGGATTCAAACTCTATCAGTTCACCCACAATTCTAATTGTACCAAAGTTAGTAGAAAGTAGTACGAATTTCCAGAACCTCCTTCTTACCCCAAACCCCACAGTGATCCAAAAATCCAAGTTTCAGGATTCCAACACTATCGGTTCCACCCACAATTTAAGTTGTACAAAATTTAGTACACATTAGTACCAATTTCCAAAACTTTCTACATACCCCAATCCTACTTCTCCACAGTGATCCCAATTCTATGTTTCAGGATTCCAACTCTTGTACCAAATTGTACCAAATTTAGTACACATTAATACAAATTTCTAAAACTTCTTACATATCTCAATCTTACAGCTCAACAGTGATCCTGGCTCCAAATTTGACGATTCTAGCTCTATTGGTTCACCTAAAATTCAGCATTATTTTCGTAATCTGAATCCTGACCCCAATCCCACACCCCCACAGTGATACTGATTCCAAATTACATTCTTCCCGCTCTATAGGATCACCCAAATCCAAACTGTACCGATTATAGTACGATTTAGTACTTTTTGTACACATAAGTAAAAATTTCCAAAACAGCGTACATATCCCAATCCTACACTCTGACGGTAATGTTACTTTCAATTTTCAGGATTCCAGTTCGATTTGTATCTCCAATTTAAATTTGTACCGAATAAAGTACTTTTCGTACACATATGTACACGCTTTCAAAATCATCATCTTAAATATGCCCTACATCTCAGCCTTTATTTGCATTTCAAATTTCAAGTTTTTAGCTCAATTCATTCATTCACATGCTACGAAATTGTACTAAATTTAGTACATTTTAGTACTTTTCGCATACTTATAGTTCGAATGTCCAAAAAAACCTTTGCTATATATATTCTACACTCCATCAGTGTACAATAAAATTTAAGAGTTCTAGCTGTACCAAATACAATTGGTATCACATTTAGTACTTTTCGTACTGTTCTAATACGAATTTCCAAAAACCCAGTCTTATCTGTCACCTTTGGACCAAGAGTGAACCTCACCCAAAATTTCAAGATTCTAGCTTCAGCCGTTTCGACTGGGAGTTGATGAATCATTAAATCAGTCAGCCAGTCAATCACTTTATTCTTTTATTAGCATAAGTTAAATTTTTACCAAATATAGTACCATATAGTACTTTTCGTACACATGAGTACACGCTTTCAAAATCATCTCCTTAAATAGACTCTACATCTCAACCCTAATTCGCATTCCACATTTCAAGTTTTTAGCTCTATCCATTCACATGCTACGAAATTGTACCAAATTTAGTACATTTCAGTACTTTTCGGATACTTATAGTTCGAATTTCTAAAAAGTCCTTTGCTACATCTATTGTGCACTCCATCAGTGACCCTCAATCCAAATTTCAGATTTCTAGCTTCACCGGTTCGCCAAATACAAATGGTATCACATTTAGTACTTTTTAGTACTTTTCGTATCATTCTAGTACGAATTTCAAAAAACCCAGCCTTATCTGTCACCTTTGGAGCAAGAGTGACCCTCAACCAACATGTCAAGAATCTAGCTTCAGCCGTTTCGTCTAAAAAAATGTAATTTTCTTTATATTTTTTTATTTAATTTTTTCCAGTATAGAAAAAAAGTCGCAGCAGTAGTTCTTATTATTTATTTATTTCACATATTTCATGCAATAATTGTCTACTAGAAAAAAATCCAAATTTTAAAATATTTTTCCAAATCGAAATATTTTGGAGTATTTTTACATATAAATGTCCCCATAACATTAATCATC